AACCAGCTGCCCCTGGAGCCAACAAACTCTCCTCATTAAATGTTTCAAGAGCCTAATGGGCATAAGTGGCTAATTGTAGTACAATCCTGAAGACTGAATCTAGCGGCCTGAGGAAGGGGGTCAGTGGGATGGGAATGGGGTTAAAACTTGGCTGACAGAGACAGGAAGGAGGTGAGCTCTGCCCCTGGCAGAGGACCTCTAAATGGCCAAAATGAAATTAAAATAAGAGTAAGATGCTTTGATTGGGAGTCTCTAATCATTCTGACAGTATCCCCATGAGATGGGCTTGGATGTCTCATTTGGAGCAATTTTAAGTTTAAATGCTAGTTGAATAGGATCTGGAATACAGGTTTATTGAAAAACTAATTATGGGAAATTTTATGTTTATTTACTATGAAAAACTGGAAGAGTATGCAGTAAAATGTTGCAATGAGCCTCTCTAGGTGTTGTGCTTATACTGTAGGTGATTTTCCATTTTCCTATTTCTATTTTGTTCATGTTCATTCTCTAATTCATCTACAATGAGCATTTAGTTCTTTTATAATAAAAATAAAGGGCAACACTAAATGAAATAAGATGAAGAGTATTGTGCTGGAACTAAAATGTAAAATTAAGGGGGACAGGAGAGTTGGTGAATGCATTGATAAGTGGTTCCTTTTACTTTGTATAGTCTGCTATCTTTGCCACTTCCCTGGATACATGCTTGATGTGAGCTGCCAATCTAGAGGCAGGAATGAATTGCTGGCATTGGGCGAGACAGACCTCTTGACCATGTATTAATACGAAAGTTTCAACTTCATTGCCTTTGTGATAGTTCTCAGAAAGGTTATTTCTGCACAGCCTTTTTTGGCTTTGGTTTTTAGTGGAACAGCTTGGCCACTTGTGGTATGATCTTAAGTGATGCTGAATTTCAAGAGAGCTTGAAGGATGACTATGATTTACCTAAAAGTGTCAGTCTAGGTGATTCTAGACCATTCTGCTAGGTTTAAAAAAAAAGAGAGAGAGAAGAAAAGAAAAAAAGAAATCACCGTTATCACCATTTTTAGCAATTTATTCTTATAAAATGGTCACCACAGACTACTCCACCTCCTTCATGCCCAAATATAAATGATATATTTAGATTGGACCTATCACCACATGCAACTACCATCAGAGAACCAAAGCTCTGTAACTGGGAAGAAGCTTTCAAATAGCCACAAATTGCTGATGCTGAATGTTTTCTTAGAAGCTTCACATTTACAATGGGTAAGTGCAGTAAGTTAGTTGTCCAAGAATATCCAAGAAAAAGGTTTAGGTATTGATAAATTCATACCCTATGGGTTTTGTTTGTTTGTTTGTTTTTGTTTTGTTATGAGACAGAATCTTGCTTTGTTGCCCAGGCTGGAGTGCAGTGGCGCGATCTCGGCTCACTGCAAGCTTCGCCTCCCAGGTTCATGCCATTCTCCTGCCTCAGCCTCCCAAGTAGCTGGGACTACAGGAGCCAGCCACCGTGCCTGGCTAATGTTTTGTATTTTTAGTAGAGACGGGGTTTCACTGTGTTAGCCAGGATGATCTTGAGGTCCTGACCTCATGATCCGCCCGCCTTGGCCTCCCAAAGTGCTGGGATTACAGGCTTGAGCCACCACGTCCGGCCATACCCTATGGTTAAATGATCCCCTCTCTTAAAAGCGATGCTGAATTCTGGGTGACCAAAGTTCATATTTCCATAGTACAATATAAATGTGGGTTTAAGGTTGCAGATGAACGTTGCTGAAACTTCTCAGTATAATGTGAGGATTCCTTTGACATTCAAATGTGAATTGGACTCAGACTGAAGTTATTAAAAAGATGCTGTGATCATCAGGCTAGAGGAGGAAGGGGTCCTTAGCTGGGTCAAAGGTAGAGGCAATGCCCAGGGCCATATTTTAGAAGCATTTTAAAGGGTCTCTGACATCTCTTTTAATTTCCCTTATTCTCCTGAAGAGCTCATCTGCAGCCATGGCTTTGTCCATTACTTATAACCTGAAAAAGACCCCCACGTCAACATTTCTTGTCTCAACTTTTCTCTGTACCTCTTTCTCGTATCTCCAGCTACCTGGTATGTAGTTCTTTCTTGATATTCTGTACACTTTTGATATGTCAGACAGTATCTTTCATCTCTCTTAACAAACTGTATTCCCGTATGACTAACCTACATTTCTTTGGCAACAGTGTTCTCCAAGGCAATCTCTCTTATATGTTCATGGTCATCAGTGACTCCCTTCCTCTCTTTTACCCTCTTCTTCCTTCATGGCTGCTCGCTTTCACTTTTCTTGTTCTCTCCCTTATTTAGACCCAGATCATTTCTTGCCAGCACTATTGAGATAAGATAACTTTGTTTATTGGTTTCCATGCCTGTATCTCCTCCTGCTCCAATCCAATTCACAGCCCATGGGAACAGCCCAAGACCACCTGAGAATGATTGGATCCAGCTTGTAAGGTTAAAACTGGGGACAAGAATAGGCTAAAAAGCTTAAGCCAAGGTTACTGGATTTCATCTCCCATGTATCGGATGAAGGAGCAATTGGACTATTTCTGGGTTCAAGAAGATAGAATGCTAGCCATTGAGAGGAGGTAACAGGGATCAGATTTCAGCACCATGTCAGAAGAGCTTTTCATCAATTAGAGCTGTGATGCAGTGAAACAGTCCTAGTAGTGTATGACAGTGAATTCCTTTCCCTGGATATGTTCAAGCAGAACTAGAAAATCACTTCTAAGGGATATTGTATCAAGCTTACATGCTTTAGGCCAGCTGACCACTAAGGTCTTTTCAAACTCCAAATTTTTACAACATATCACAGCCATCTCCATCCCTGCCTCTGCCTCACACCTGCTGGGAATCCAGAGTCTGTTCTTGCTGCTCTACACTTTCCTCACTCCAAGTTCTACAGCGGGTAGCATGCTCTCCTCCAGAGGGATGCTCCCCCTGCGCATCCCATCCATGGCCTTTCAGTGTAAGTTTCTGCTGCCTTGGGCCATTAAGTAATCTGAACAGGGTAGATCTGGTTATTTAATAGCTTTTATATGCCATGTCCCATGCCCAGCATTTTTCCTTATGTGATCAGTACACTAACCCTGTGAAAATACTATAGATTTGGATTTTTTGAAACCCACTTTAAAGAAGGGACTGAACCAAGGTTTTGTAACTCCGGGTTCTGGGTACTTGAGAAAAGGAAGGAGGAAAGGAGTGAAGGGACCCTCAACCATGGGCCACAGATTGGGGTAGGCTAGAGAGGTTCTTCACAGGAAATCCTACATACTGAAAAATTACATCTGGAATTTTTATCTCAATAAGTATTAAACTATCTGTGTTGCTAACAAAAATTATAAATATTGATGTTTAATATAGTTACTGGGGAACTAACTGAGAAAAGAGGAAACTATAATATATTTGATTAAATAATAAAAGAATAATTACAATGCATTACTTGTTATATTCCTGGTCACCATATAATATAGTAGCAAGTATTCATGTTCCTCAAATATGTGTTAGATTAGCAGTGCTTAAATTATTTTTAATTTTAACACTACTCTGTCACAATATGCCTGGCTTCCATGTAGTATGCCATGTATCTGATCTTTTTTCAAAAATCAGAGGTGCTAATTAAGAAGTACTACTATGAGCAGGTTATGAGATAGGATAATGGACATGGATATGCCCAGCGCTATGTGTTGCACATAATAAATGTTTATTGGATCTGAGTCTGGCATCTATACAAGGGATGAGGCAAAGGACATGTTATTATTTTATTTCCTGATATAAGTAACCATCAAAAATTTTCAATTACATGTATCCCCTGGCTCAGAAATTCCACTGTCATAGTATTCTATATTTACACATAACTTAATTAATCAGTCTCCTATTGTTTATAATCCCATCTTTGTGAGCTGACAATTAGAAAGAACTAAAAGTTGTTCAGTCCCTACTGTATGCCAGGAACTTTACGTTTGTTATCTCATTAATTCTCAATTAAGCCTGAGGAGAAGATATATTATCCCCCATTTAAGAATAAAAAAACTGAGGCCCATAGAGACTACGTAACTTACCCAAGATCATATAGTTAGTAAATACCAGATCTGGAATTTGAACTCAGATATTTCTGGCTAAAACCCAAATTTGCTCCAACATTCCAATGGTTAAGCACTGGATTCTGAGGTAACAAAGGTCACCTAACCCTGGGTCAGCCTTAGCTTAGTCTTCAGAAAAGAGTCTCACAAAGGATATCTCCACAAAGCTGGATGGGCCTGTTTTGGTCAAATATTTACAACATAGTGTCAACACAACTTAATGTTTCATTTAAGCTAAGAAAAACCAAACCAAAACAAAAACCGATGAGTATCAAGTTGTTACTATTTTAGGAGAGGGCTCTTCCACCTTTGTACATCATTCATTCCTTTGTTCATTCATTCTGGGGGTAGTAGGCAACCACAGCATATTTTGGTAGCAGGTTGACTACAGAGTGTTCGCCCACAGGAATGAGCTGGAGACTCACGCACTACACTAAGTCAGATTTTTGCTTTGGTATTTATTTTCTTATTTAAAGGTATGAAAAAACTTATTAAAATGATTGAGTATTATTTCAAACCTCTCACATACCTTTATTACTTTAAGATGGGATTAGCGATGGGCATGGGATGAGTGTTAAATTATTTCCCCAAGGGAAAAAAAAGTAAGCTTTTCCTCATTACCCAATTTGTATTATGGAATTTCCATCAATTCCGTCAAGTAAGCAATGGGGTTTCATGTGACAAAAGCTGAAAAAAAAATAACAGTATTAGCCCACAAATAGCGGTGGAAATGGAGAAGATAAAAAGGTTATTATTTGTTTGAAAAGTACCCAGGGTCAAAACCTTTTAGATTGTGAGAGCCCAGGTGGAACCCTGGTTTGTTTCCTCAGGCAACAGAGACCTCCGGCTAGAAAAATGTATTTATAGTCCTTTGCTTGAGATTTTATCTGATTCTTATTTTATTTTCATTCCAGTTGCTACATTGATGGCCGGGTGGTCAAGGTGATGGACTTCCTGAAAACTCGCCTGTTAGACACACTCTCTGACCAGATTAGGAAGATTCAGAAAGTGAGTAAAAGTATCCTGGGAAGAAAAGGAGCAAGTCTGGGGGTAAGGCAAGGAAAAAGACACAAAGTCCCAGCTGGGCCTCAGCACTGTGGGAACCAGGGTAGAAAAATAGGAAAATAGTACAGTCCAAATGGGCATGGTCACAAGCCCCCCATCACAATTGTTGCCTGTCATTTGTTGTTTTTCAAATTGAAAAGGGTCTGTGTGTGCCATATCAAGGTTTAAAGCATCTCTATTGTTTTTAATTAATTTTTTTTTTAAATGGAGTCTTGCTCTGTTGCCCAGGCTGGAGTGCAGTGGCATGATCTCAGCTCACTGCAACCTCTGCCTCCTGGGTTCAAGCAATTTACCTGCCTCAGCCTCCCAAGGAGCTGGGACTACAGGCACAAGCTGCCACGCCCAGCCAATTTTTATATTTTTAGTAGAAATGTGGTTTCACCATGCTGGCCAAGCTGGTCTCGAATTCCTGACCTCGAGTGATCCACCTGCCTCAGCCGCCCAAAGTGTTGGGATTACAGGTGTAAGCCACTGTGCCTGACCTAAAGCATCTCTATTTTAATTGCTTCTAAACTGTGAGTTTCGTAAGGGAAGAATAGATTTACCTGATATTTTCTTTTTTGGAGGGGTTTATTTTAGGTTACTTAAGGGAGAAAATGATTATATTCATTCAGTGAAATTCCAGTCTGGGGCACTGGCAATTCTAAGCCATATTTACACTGTTCCTAGGTGTCTTAGAATTAGCCAAGTAAGATCTTAATTTTGTAAAGTTGAGAGGAAAGCTATAGTATATTAAGCAATTGCATGTAGGTGCTGTTAGCACACCTTTGGTCAGTGATTCTCAGACTTGAGGACAATCAAAATCACCAGTGGTGCTCACTAAAGTTTCTAATTTCACTCCTGAAGTTCTGATTTAATATGGCTGGAGTGGCTTCCAGAGGTCTCTATTTTTAATAATCTGTCAAGTGATTTTCCATAATGCCAATTATGGATCACATTTTGAAATCCTGGATTAGTTAATTCTAAATTGTGAAGATCTTACATCTACAATTGTCATGGGCCTCTACAACGTATTATTATCTTTGGTTGCCCGGTGAAGGTTCTTTTCCAGGGAATGGGGACCCTTTGAATAGTTTGCTATTTCTTGAGCGAATTAAACAAATCTTTGGAAAAAATTTGTAATAAGCAGGCTCTCAATAAATACAAGATGAATTAATAAACAGACAAATGAATAGCTCATTTATAGCTCTGAAAGGAAATCCTGTTTGAAGAAATCAAAGAACATCAGTTTTGACAGCTGAAGTGGAAGGCTTCACCTTTTTTGTATTCATCCCAATGTCATACTCAGATTATAAACAGCATCTGGAATTCTCTTGTTCTCAAGAGTTGGATAGGCTGAGAAGCCTCAGAACTTCTGAACTACTACATCCCAATCTGATCCCTCCAGGGAGCAGGTGCATTGGCCAGCACCCTTATCTGTCACTGCCTTTCACTAGGCAAAGCCTAGGAGAACTAAATGATTTGAAATATTTCTACCAGTCCCTGTTTGATATTCATTTAGTGAAAAATATTCACTGAGCATTTAGCGAGTACCTAAGGCAAAGTGTCAGATGCTGGGGATACAAAGTGGTATAAGACATGGTCTCTGCCCTCAAGATAAAGTAAGTTTTAACACTTACTTTCAGCAGATTGAAAACATATTACCTAGTAATAGAATGTTAACCTATTGAATACTGTAGTCTTCTAAGCACATTATGCTAATCTGATATTACATATTGCCCTCTAGAAGGAGGGAAGAATTTTCTGTCATTAATTCATTTGTTTATTACTTCATTCAATAAATGTTTATTGAGTGCTTACTATATCTAGACACTGTTCTAAGTGTTTATATTACAATAGTGTACAAGATAGTCAAGTTCCTATAGTTTTGGCTTTTCCCGTTTTGAGTTTGATCAGAAGGTTGTTGTTGGAAGTAAAATGATTCAGTTCTATCAAGGCACTGAGAGTGAAAGTTCTAACTGCACTCATGTTATTATTTAAGTACAACAAGTGGCTGTAGGTCAGAACTAAGACAAAGGTGTTGGAAGTTAGGTTCTTTCCTTTATCCCCACTTCCCGTTACCCTCCCCCACTGCATATGCCTTCACCATATGAACCAGTTTGAAAACTGAAATAACTTACCTCCTGATTTATCTGGGCCCAAGAAACTTCAGAAAAAGAGCTAAAACCCTGTGCCCAATTGGTATTCAGATCTTTAAAAACAAGCCTAACGGACTTAGAAGGGGAAGGGTAAGTGCTGTCACAGGGAGGAACAGTGGGACCCCTGAGAGATGACTATATGCAGAAAGCACCTGGCAGGGGAGGGCTAGGCTTCGCAGCAGGGTCTGGACTTACCTTTTGGCAGTTGCAAAGAGAACATGCCCAAAGAGAACCCCTCAAGCCAGGGTTCCTATTCTGAATATCTCTTGCTGTGCAACAAATTACCCCAAAACTTAGTAGCATAAAACAGCCATTTATTAAGCCAAAGGATTGTATGGGTCAGGAATTCTCAAAGAGTACAGAGGGAATGGTTTGTCTCTGCTCCATGATGTCTGAAGCCTGAGCTAAAAGACCTAAAGGCTGGGATTACTGAAAGGTTAGTATCTGGGACCATCAGAAGACTTGTTCACTCCCATCTCTGACAGGGGATGCTGTATCACTTTTCCTAACCTAACCTCAGAAGTCACACGGCATCACATTAGCCATATCCTATTCATTGAAGGAGTTGCCAAGACCCACCAAGCTTCAAGGTGAAAAGAAATTAACTCCTCCTTTCGATGGGGGAGTAGCAATACTCTGGAAAAGCATATAAGACCAGAAATGTTTTTGCAGTCATTTTTGGAAAATATGATCTTCCACAGTTTCATCCTCCCTGTTTCATTTAGTAGGCTTTAAGTCATTTCCCTGTTTTTTTCCCCCCGATTCTCTTTTACAAAGCTCTTGCCAGATATTGCCTTAAGTGAGTATATGCTAGAGGTGTTGCTGGATCATGGATTCCCTGAGATTTGAACCACTGGATAGACTTCTCATTGGCTAAAGCAGTCTGGACCCAGTTGTTAGGGCCTCCAAGAGGAGAGTCTCTCTCACCACAACCCAAGGTGTACTAAGCACTGGCCTTCCCTGGGGACATGAGAGCTAGGAGACTAGACCAGGATCCCCAAACTTTGATTGCTGAAATGTTGCTTTGACTGTTCCTGAAGTCCCTGATGGGTGGGGAGGAGGGTTCTTGGGAATTAGGGTCCAAAGTACAAACTAGGGCGCACTAGCAGATGACTTTCTTGCAAGTTCCTCAAATCATTTCAGAGATGGGCCAAGTTAGGTTTCACGTTTTTTAAATTTTTTTTTTTTTGAGACAGAGTCTCGCTCTGTCGCGCAGGCTAGAGTGCAGTGGCGCAATCTCAGGTCACTGCAAGCTCCACCTCCTGAGTTCACACCATTCTCCTGCCTTAGCCTCCTGAGTAGCTGGGACTATAGGCGCCCGCCACCACACCCAGCTAATTTTTTTGTATTTTCAGTAGAGACGGGGTTCACCATATTAGCCAGGATGGTTTCGCTCTCCTGACCTCGTGATCCACCCGCCTCGGCCTCCCAAAGTGCTGGGATTACAGACATGAGCCACCGCACCCGGTTTTTTTTTTTTTTTTTTTTTGAGATGGGTCTCACTTTGTCACCCAGGTTGGAGTGCAGTGCCGGGATCTCAGCTCACTGAACCTCAGCCTCCCAGGCCAAGCAATCCTTCCACCTCAGCTTCCCTGGTAACTGGGATCACAGGTACATGCCACCACAACTGGCTAATTTTTGTGTTTTTGGTAGAGACAAGGGTTTCACCATGTTGCCCAGGCTTGTCTTGAACTCTTGAGCTCAGGCAATCCACCCGCCTTGGCCTCCCAAAGTGCTGGGATTATAAGTGTGAGCCAGGGTGCCTGGCCTTCCAAGTAAGTTTTTATTGTCTCTATACCTGGAACCTTCACCCCAAAGCTGGAAGTGTACTTTGTTTCTTCTCTCTTTGTAGGCCGGGCGCGGTGGCTCAAGCCTGTAATCCCAGCACTTTGGGAGGCCGAGAGGGGCGGATCATGAGGTCAGGAGATCGAGACCTCACTCGCACACCTCCACTCCTGGTTCAGGGATCTCCTGCCCCAAGCTTCCTGAGATGCCGTGAGAGTACATGTGCCTGCCACCATGCCACCTCGGATGATTTTTCAGTATTTTAGTACAGCAGAGATGGGGTTTCCGCCATGCTTGGTCAGGCTGGTACTCAAAACTCTGACCTCAAGTGATCTGCTGCCTTAGCCTCCAACCACGTGCTGGGATTCCAGGCATCTGACCACCGTGCCTGCGCCAAGTTAGACTCCTGGTTGATCTTACACATGTATCATGTATTGCAAATCACTCTGTATCCCAATAAAGTATGGTATAATTACTTTATGTCAATAAAAGAATTTAGAAAGGAAGGAGGAAGGCAGAAATCTTTTCAAATATTGGGGGAGCCAATTGTTGAGTTTATTTACACAAGTATATAATCAACAATGCAAGTAATATGGGCCAGTAACATCATTTGGAAACCACTTCCTTTATAGACTGGGATTTCACCACACCCTTCTGGCTATCAATTACTGAACATAATATCAAAAGTGTATTCACATATTCTGATCTCTAGGAGAATGGAAGACACAAATCACAGGTCCAAAGACTTCTAGCAAAAGTGGTTCTCTCTTGGTTCTTAAGTCATTGTTTTGGAGTCAGCCCAGCCATCCAGACTATACCATCTCACGTGTCCTAAACTTTCTCACTTTCCCATCTGACTCTTCCCTGTATTTTTAGATTATCAACCTTCCCTTTGCGACTCACTCCCAATCGTAGCACACTCATCATCCATCAAAAAAAAAAAAATTCTATGCAAGGGAAAGATCATTGATCATCAAAAGGCGGTGAGTTGTCCACACATTGCCAACCAATGTCTCCTAT